CTTTTATTGTTATTAAAATTTAACTTTAAAATTAATATTTGTATTTAAATAGTAATTATATTTATAGTCAAATAATTTGACTTGCATCAAATAGTCTATCACATACTGCGTCATTAATTTAGGGTAGTGTAAAAAATCGCACTCATGAATTTTGGAGGTGAAATTTCATTGGTTTACTGAGATTAGATAGAGCGCCATGCTTTGGATTTAAAAATGAGTTTTTCACTATTATGAAAGCATGTGTAGAATATTTTTTAACTATTGGCTTTGGATCATTTCTTTGTCCCGATGTCGTAATTACAGTATAAGTAATTAAATTGACTAATCGTAGCTAGATCCTAACAACAAATACAATTATTTTCAATATAGAGACTACAGAAAAATGGCCGAAAATAAAGAATGAATCGATTAAGAATTCAGAAGCGATTTTAAAAATCAGGTAGCCAAATTGATTGTTGCTGTTGTAAAGGCTGTGGCCTTATAATTTTCGAGATGATGATAGCAGACAATCCATTTCTAAATTAAGCGTTTCATAGATTGATCTGAAAAGATGATAACTAATCGATTTAAAGCTTTCTAAAGCAACTAATCGATGATTATCCACCAATAAATTTTATAAAACAATTTAATCAACTAATGGGTAAATTTTCCGTATGTTTTCTGACTTGAACATATAAGGTGGGTATGCCTAATTCGGCGCGGTTAACATTACGATAATAAAATTTTATAAATTTTTGCTAAATATGTTGCGTTACGTTCCAAAATAGCCTTTTATTTTAAAAAAAAATTTTCAACCCAAAAAGGCAACCCTTTATTCTATTTAAGAAATCCATCTAAAAATCTCTATTATTAAGTGATTGTCCTAAATCGGCGCACTTAAGTTCTACTTGAGTAATTTTAAAATTTTCCTATTTAGATTGTTTAGCGCTTTTAAGACACTGCTTTTCCTCTTTCATACGTTCTTTTTCAAGTTGTTTTTGCCTTCATGCATCTTTTTTTTGCACATTCTCTGCCTTGCATGCTATTTTTTTTTGGGTAGCAACTTCTTTCTTGTGCTGCTTTTCTTGGATCTTTTTTTTTTGCCTCTTCCTCAGCTTCTCTTAACTGTTGCAAAAATTCTTCATTCGTGAGAAGCTGGGAAAAAGGCATGGTTTTTCTTTTCTTTCTTTTGGGCGGCTGTGATTCACTTTGCCCTTCCTCAACTTCTAGATCTTCCGAATTATGCTGCCAGGGATACTTAAGTATTAAATGCAAAGGGCTGGTGTTTGGATTTTTTAAGGTTTCAAGTTCTTTTTGTAAGTGATCAACTTTATTATTTAGAAGCTCAATTTCTGATATCAACTCTTTTTTTGTAGAGTTTTTCTTAGTAAAACATGGATGACTTAGAGCCGATTTTGAAAATGAAGTTGAAGATGAAGAAGTTGAAGATGAAGAAAGTAAAGACAAAGAGAAAGGTAAAGTTGAAGAAGAAGGTGAAGATAAAAAAGAAGGCGAAGATGAAGAAGATGAAGAAGATAACTGTGGTGGGGACAAGGAAATTTGTAAGGTAGTCAACAATGGATCAAGACAATCTGGGCTAATAGCCTTTGGATTAAATGGACATATGTCTGTGGTTCTAAAGGCATTACAAATTGCAGTAGATGTGTAAGTTGTAATATAGGCTGACCCTAAAACTTTAGTAAATGTGTACTTGGTTACAAGTTTTTCATTATTTTTAAACCAAAAACTTTTCATATTTGTTACTGTAAAATTTTTTTAGCGCAGCAAATGGCAATTCGGCTGGCTGCAAAATGTGAGTGGTATGAGAGGGAAGCATATAAAGAAGTATGTTGTTTTTGTAACAAAATTCAATGCTAATATAGTTCGCATGACTCTTATGGCTGTTCAGAAATAGAACTAATGAAATGCTCAATGTATTTTTGAAATAGAGATTTTCGCATGTATCCCATTTCAGTAAATCCTATGATGGAGCCAGCTGGAGCTCCATTTAAGAGGCCTGGGATCATTCCTTTTCCTTTAAAAATAAACAATAGTGGATATATGTCCCAGCAGCTGAAATAGTTAGACATACAGAAATATGTTTATAGAAGCCGCCATTTGAAACCTGATGAACCTGATGTGCTCCCTTTTTGGCTAAAACTTTTTTAAGACTGGGTTTAATAATGAATTCCATCTCATTCTAAAACAAAAAAAAATATCGAACAAAAAAAAAATCAAATAAGAATAAAAAAAAAATCAAATAAAAAAGATCAAATAAAAAAAATTGAATAAAAAGAAAAAAAAAGATCAAAAAAAAAAAAGAATAATAAAAGCAGTACCATGTTCCAAATTTGATCAGGGGTAAGTGAATACTCTTCAATAATTTTTTCAAGCTTGACAAAATGATCATTAATAATAATAGAATTGGCTTTTTGTGTGCGAGCTTCATTTAGGGCTTGTAAAACACAAAACAAAAGCTCTAGATAGTCTCTCATAAAGCGCTTCCACCATTTTTGGCCTGGACTATTTTTATTAAAAGGATTGGGCCGCTTGCCCTGACATACAATATCTATTATGCATTGGCTTACACCAAATCTGTTTAACCCAAAACTGAGCCTTTGCATGTTAAGACAGTAACCAACAAGCTGTTTTTCTTCATAGCTTGTTAGAGCTTTAGTGTGACCTGGGTGAGAAAGAGAGCAATCATTTTCAATAGCACATCTAGGGTAGTTTTGCTATACCATAATCATGTGTGATACTTTTGATGCTTGGAGGTTTAGAATTATTTGATAAATCTTTAATTGCTTTTAGGGCATTAGTAATAGCATTATGTTGAGTCATATAGTCATTATTCTTTGCTATAATTAAATAATTTAAAAATATGATAAACTAGTGTATTAATCTTTATTGTTATATATGCAATATTTTACAAATTATCAGAATTGATATACTTTAAGATTACAAGTGATATTACAATAAATATAGTATTTAAGAATCATTAAAATTAACTAGCCTAAATGTTTTTAAAATTACACGATTTTTTCTTTGCATAAATCGTGCTTTTACATTAGTCAAGCCTTGTGCAAAAGTTAATGAAAAAAATAAAATACACATAACTTAAGTGTGGTGGAAATTACAACTATAAATTATTTTAAAAAAATAACCCAAATCAGTACGCAATATTGAAAATACCTCAAATTTAGCACATCTATATTAATATAAAGTTGTCAAAATTAGAAGATATATTGAGCTTACTGATATAACAACTTTATTCAATGCAAAATATCAATTTATTAACAAAAAAAATCTACTTTTCTATATTGTCCTTTCTTGTTAGAACTTTGAATAAAGAGAGTTTATCTAATACAATGATTTTTTGGGATCTATTGATCGGATTTATATGATTTTAATACCATTCGATTCGTCTTATCGAGACGAATCGAATGGTAGCAATATCACGTAAATCTGATCAGAAAATTTTAAGATATCTTAAACACGCTGAATTAAACACTGCACCAAATTAGGCATACTCACCTTATGTTCTAAAATTGTATAATGACTAATAACTCTTACGATTAACCAATTCTTGATCATTGTTACGTATTAACTGTATTTATTTGAATAATCAATAAACTCAAAATGTGATCATGTTTGGTTAAATCATGATTTCACATATTTGAGGCTTTTCTATATATTAGTTTTAACCAGTTTGTTTGTTAGATTTTTATTATCTCTCATTCTATCTATGCATTATATTAAGATTTGCTATAGAAATTTTCTATGATATAAAATATGCTACTAAAAACTTTAGTGTCTAAATTTGCTTATTGCACTAGTTAAAGAATATCTTTTCATATGAGATAGAATCGATTCTAAAAACTGCGATCAATTTCTTGATTGTTATTATTTTCTTTATGCCTATTTATAACAATAATCCTAAAAAATAAAAAATATAGCTAATATATGTAACCCCATTAATATCAACTTCATTAATATCAATCTAATTACAAACCAAATTTTTATAAATTTTTATATATAAAATTTTCTCTATATATTAACTTTAATATAAACCCTCATTAATATCACTATCAACATGATTTAGAACAGGTTCAAATGAGTTGATATTAATGAGGGTCATGTGTATAAGGCCACACAAAGTTAATTTTTTGTTTTGTATTACCTGGTCCGAATCCCAATCAACAGGCCAGATTTTTTTTAAAAAAAAAAAATACTATAAATTAATAGATTTACATTTATATTTAAGGCCACACAAATTAACTTTTCATTTTGTATCAACTTTTTTTTTTAAATGAACCTATCACCATCAGATAACGCTAGATAAATTTATGGAAAAAATTAAATAGCAAAAATAGAATAATTGGAACAATTGTAATTTTTAAAAAATAATAATAATTTTAAAAAATTGGGTTAGTGTGTTATGCAAGTCAAAAAATTAACTTTGCACGGCCTAAAAAAATAATAGCCATAATTTTTTTAATTTTATCATGTCTAACTTTCAACTTCAACTTAATCTATGACAATTATTGAAAACATAAACGATGCAAAATACATCTACATATTATTTATTATTGCCTTTTTCAAATTACTGTGATCATCAAATTATATATGTTATACACCATATGGGAATCTGAGAATTTGGAACCCAATTCAGAATAAAAAAAATAAAAAATTCTAAAAGTAGCAAATTTTCTTTTTTCTGAACAAATCAAATATATGATGGCAGATGCTGCCAATACTAAACTTAAATATTACCGCAGCAACTGTTTTGAATGTAGAAATTGTTTGTACTATGCAGTTAATTTGCGAAGTACTACTTGTAAATATAAATTATCTATAGTACTAACAAAAAAAAATAGAACAGATTTAGTGAAACAAGTATATACACATATCTATGAACCTACTTGGATAGCACATAAGTTTGAATATATTTATGAAAGAGTTATGGAATGCAATTATCGAATAAATTTGAAAAAGTCTTTTTAGTTTTCTCTTTGTGGATAATGTCACAATGTTTTAGCCAAAGTGAATCCCGTGAAGGTTAAAAAAAATAAAAATATGACAATGAACAATGAAGAGAATAACTATATAATATATACATTTATTAATATATTAAATATTTTATTAATACATTGCTTTTATTTATAGGAAATATTAGGTCATTCTCCCAATCAACATCAGCTGCAGCAAGTGAAGATCAAGTTAACGAAAGTGAAATGAGTAGTGAAAATGAGAAATTTGATTTTGCAGTAGATTACAAATTATTTGTTAAAATAGCAAATGGGGTTCATTACCTGCTAAATGGTTCAAAAAATCTGTATCAACAGTTGATAGATTTTTTTTATCCATTAACAATAAAATTTTTTTGGTAACAAAGGATAATAATATTATGCCAAGTGAATTCTCTGTGACATTCAAAATGCAAAGAAAAACAGGCACTAATATCCAATTAGTCGATGAACAGGATTTCATAAAGTTTAAATCTGAATATACAAAGTTAGCTACTAGAAAGAGTGATATCAAAATTTATATAACAATTGTGCGACAATCTACTAAAAACAAATGAAAAAAAGGTATTACAGTCTTTCTCCTCTATAATTACACTGTTTGTTTTACACAAATGGAGAGTCTATTCAGTAGAAAGGGGGCTAATCTCCTTTTTGGTTAAAAAATTTTTATTGGCCTATTAAATAAAGTATAGTCAGATATATAAATTTAATAAAAAATTAAATTATGTCTGTTTAATAATTTTTTAAGTTTTATATATAATAATTACCTTCTAGTATTGTGTATAGTACCTGGTATGACATGACTTTTTACATAGTAAAAAATTAGAAATCACGTGCATTATATAATTGTTTATATCACATTGCATATATAAATAATATTTTAAAAAATTGATCTATATTATTTGTTACAGACAATTGTTATGATTTACAAAAATGTGATTTTTCCAAAATTTTTAATCAAATCTAAATGGAGATTAGCCCTTTTTTACTGAATAGATCCCAAATGTGTGATTATATAGTGTTTACTCTATATAATCACATTTAATAATATAACTTATCCAATACTCTACTATGATTGGAACTATTAAATAACTTGAGTTATTTGGTAATTTTTTATATTTAAAATAATTGACTTTAAAATCTTATTAAAAAAAACTTTATGTGCAAATTAATTTTATTTATTTATTTATTTCATATAGCTAACGCTATTATATTGTAATTGCATGTATTAATGCTTTTTATGTTTTTTAATAATCTTCACATATTTCACATTAATATTATAATAATTCTTAATGACTGTATTACTATTATTTAACTCCAGCATTTGGGCACTAACTTGATTATTTATTTTAAAAGTTTGTAGTTTTGAGTGCAATGGTTCTGAAATGATGGTCCTGAATGTGATAGTTTTGAATGTGGTGGTTCTGAATGTGATTGTCTTGAATGAGATGAGATATTTACTTTTGAAGAATCTTTAAAAGGTGACTGGAATGAAGCAAAGACAGACTGTGATGATGCTGCTGAATTTGTTTGTTTTCTTGAAGCTTGTTTATAATTATTGCTGCTTATTACTTTTTGAAAATTATTTGAGGATTCATTATGTTTGTTAGAATTTGTTCATGTAGGTTTCTAATAAATAAAATATTAAATTAAATGTTTTTGTTTTAAGTAAATAAAAAAATACCACCTCCAAATTATCCAAAGTTAATCCAATATTATTAATCAGTAATGATAATGCATTCTCTCTTTGTTGATCTAATGGTTGTGCATAAATATGATAAAATAATTCGCTTCTATGACTAGTTAGAGACATTGTTGTAACTATTGGAACTCCTTTTTGGAATAAAAATGTAATCAACATTGATCGTTCAGAATGGTTGACAATGTTATGACCATTGATATCAATTCCCACAGCAGTACAAATATCTTTTATCAAAGTTCTGCAAGTATTTTCACCTAATTGAATATTATAAAACCATGGGTCCTGTACAAGATCTGGTAGCAATAAAAAAAATAATAATAATATATAATATATACTGAAAAAATAAAATAAATATAAATTTTAATTTTTGCTTCTTTATTAATACGTAAATAAAGTGAATTGCAACTTGAATTCAATGGTCTTTTAGAAAAATAGAATTTAAAATCATGTATAGGCCCTTGATAACTTTTCATATCAGGTGGCACAAAAATAATTAAAGCATCTGAATTTTTATCGATACCTCCTTGATCATTTTTTTGATGACTTTTTGCAAAATGTTACCATTATTAGATGTGAAAATAAACTGCTTAATTGAAATTTTATAATGTTCCCCACACAGAGTTGAAATAAAAGACAGCTCCATATAAAAATTCTGTAAAGAAGTTCTTGTAGCATATTAATAGAAACTTTTTTATGTTGAAATATCTTTTTTAGTTCATTATCAGTTAAATGATCATGATGCTATGAAACAATTCCTTTTTTTAATTGTTTTAATTTTCCATTTATTGCATCCCACAGTTGTGCAAATTCTTGCTGATTTCCTAAGTTGAACTGCTTTGTTCCTTGGGGATTCTTTAAAATGTATACACTTAATAATCTAATACAGTTTGTTAATGATGATGGTAAATATTCCTCATTTGTTCAAATTGTGCAAATTCCAAGAACAAATTTAATCATCTCACATTCCAATTGATCTTTATTTGCAATAGATTTAACACTATAATCATAGCCAACATCAGACCACTATGCCTCTAAAATTCTAACCCATTTTGCTGTAGCTTTACGAGTGTTTTCTGGAATAGTATCTTTAATGATTTCATCTATTTCTTCATTTGTTGGCTTGTGATATTTAGGTTTATTAATGTTTGTTATTTTTTTTTAATGTAACTATTTTATTTAACAGAAAACAGGTTTGTATTTCATAAAAAAAATCCAGAGCGAAAAAGAAAAACTCAATCATAAAAAAAAAAATTATTTATATAAAAAAAATTTACTCTATTTTTTTACGTCATTAATTTAAAGCTTAATTTAAAAACTCAACTATAAAAAAAAAATTTTTATATAAAAAAAAATTTACTTTATTTTTTTACATCATTAATTTAAAGCTTGATTTTCGTAATAAGTGACCCGATTATTATAGGGTATCGAATAATACCGTTATTGAATGCTTTGCACCAATAACTGACGTATCTGGCAGAGAATTTTGATTGTTTAATGTTTGGACCTCTGTGGGGCCCAGTCATCAAACAATCAAAATTCTCTACTAGATACTTTTCGTTATTTGTAGGTGTAACAATAATATCGTGATCATGCAGATTATGATATAATTGTGCCACATATTAAATAACTACAGTTATTGGCTGCTATGCATCCAATAACTATGCATTATTGGCTGCTATGCATCCAATAACTATATATTATATCATGTGAATATATAGGAGCAAATGAAAAAATTCTTTATTGAATTTTTTTTTTTTTACCTATAGCATAGTTTTATGCTAATAAAAGTTTTATATTAACTTTTTTGGTATCTAGTTTAATGAGGGTTGTAACTATCTTACTGCATATCAACAATCAGTCTAAAAGTAAAAAACAAAAAAAGATAGCATGATTTATAAGTTGTTATTTTTTTAGACTTTATACTGTCTTAAAATAGACTTTATTTATAACTATAACAAGTAAGTTTATTTATTTAGTACTCTAATATTAAGCCTATTTTATTTTTTATTATATTTTACCAAAGCATTATCTTTTTTATTTCATTTGTTACTATATTTATTTGTCTTCAAGTGCTGAGATAAGTAGTTTTTTTTAACAATTGTTAGACACTTCTTTTCATTCATAACTAACTTCTTGCTAGTTCTCTTGTAGTTTTATAACTTAAAAGCAATTTGCTACACATCAATAAGCTAATGCAGTTTCTTTTCTCTGTGGCGAGAAATAGATATATACATACTGGAATATGCAATATATGTTAAGTGTTGGTTTCCTCACTTTCTAATGCTTCTTTTATAAATACAACACTTTACAGACATGTTTATTTTACAAGAATCAATTTACAAGTTCATATCATAGACATTATTTTTACCAATAAGCTTATTATATAGATAGATTTTTTACCGAAAAGCTCAATTCATAGATGAAGTAATTCTAGTTATTACTATTATGGTTAGTTTAGAACTAGAGTTTATATAATTTATAAGAAATAAATTCTTCTGTAAAATAAGCTTCAGTGAAAAAACTGTTTACAAAATGAGCTTGTTAGTAAAATAAATTGTTCATGAAATAAATTTGTTTGTGAATTAATTATCTGCATTTAACTAAAAAAAAAACTATAAAAATTTAGATAGTTTGATAAATTATAATTTGTGTATAAATTAGCAGATGACTATTTTTCTATCTTGTTAGAGAATAAAATTAGAAACGCATATTATAAAAAAAAAATTTGTATTATAATGATAATAATTGATAAATGATTTGAATTGATCTTTAATTAATTAGACTTTCGAATATTTTATAAATGATCAAAATCAAATAAGAAATTTTCACCAATCACTATCTCTAATTATAAAAATATTCATTCACAGTCACTCACTATATGTTTGCACATATATTGTGATTATATAAAAGGTAAATATATATGTATATATTTTGATTTACAATATATAATATGATAGTGGTTATAAGCTAATTGTGATTATATAAGGTATTTTTATATATAAACAAATAGAGTTAAAAATTTGTGTGACAATATAGGAGTTGTAATTATAGAGGAGGTAATTATAGAGGAGGAAGACTGTATATGTAAATCCTAATCAATATTGGCTATAGCTATAATCAGTTCTAGTACAAAGCATATTTTTATAAATAATATTGATTTTTTTTGTAGGAATTGGATTTAAGTGAATGTGAAGAAGATAATGAAAGATCAAACAATTACAAGAATAAAAATTAAGTCCCAAGTGTTTTGTCTTTGTCTTTATATGATAAAGAGATTGCTGAAAATGTGTTAAAAATTAGAAATACATATCACTGCAATGTGCATAATCATCTCTGCATAAATAAAAGAAGCTACAAAGATTTTCATATAGAAATTACATTTTGATACTCTGTATTTTGGCATCTGATATGGTACTTTATAGTAATGTTTATAACAATTTATACTGCTTATAGTAAATTTATTTTTATGTATATTTATAGAGCAAAGAACTAGCTATGGTCAAAAATCCTTCAACACATACTTATTTTTCCTATGCTAATATATCATCCAAAAAGTGATTACTATCTTCTCATTTACAATTACCACCAACTATATCATCACAAACACCATTAGTTTAACTATCTTCTCCACCACACGCATTACATAAACAAGTACAACTTACACAACCATTATTACCACAAATATAACCATTTCAATCTCTACAAGTTCAACTTACACAATCATCACCACAAGTACAATTTGTACAATTATCTTCACCAAATGTGCAACTTACACAACTACTACTACCACACGTACAATCGACCCAAGTACAACTTGCATGACTATTGTCAGCACAATTTGTATAACAATAACAA